CCAAGTTTTCCAAACCCTGAACTCGAAACCCTAAACCCTAAATCCCTAAACCCTACATCCCTAAACCCCTTAACCCCTGAACTGGAACCCCTAAACCCTAAACCCCTAAACCCTAAAACCCCAAAAACCCCTAAAGCCCTAAACCCCTCAACCCAAAACCTCAAAAACCCCAAAACCCTTCTTATAGATCCCTTTAAAGGAACCCTAAAGAAACCCCAAAAAGAACGCCTTATATGCTCCTGGAGCTCTGACAAAAGCCGCGCCCGAAAGCCGCGAGGCCCCTCCGGGAGCTCCAGGAACCTTTCGGTCTTAAGACAAGGGGCCAATTTTAGGGGTTAGGGGTTTGGGTTTAGGGTTTAGGGTTTAGGTTTTAGGGTTTAGGGGTTTAGGGTTTAGAGTTTAGGGGGGGGCTGAGTATCTTGGGTCCAGGTATAGCTTGAACTCGAACCTCCTAAGGTAGGCTCCTTAATAATTAGAATACCTCGGGGCTGAGTACCTTAGCCCCAAAAAGGGTTAACCTTTTGAATTATGGTAGGATTATACAAGCCCAAAAAGGACTCAGCCCCCAAGTTTAGTTAGGGGTTTAGGGTTTAGGGTTTTTGGGGTTTAGGGTTTAGGGCTATGGGCTTAGGGTTTCTTGGTTTCCCAGTAGCCCCTTTGGGCGTGAGGGTGCTCCTTTTTCTTACTGTTTGGTTTTTGATAAGGGAACCCAAACAGAAAAAAGGGCAAAACGGTCCTACTGGGAAACCTAGTAAAACAGTGGCCTAACTTAGTCAGGATTTAGGGTTTAGGGGTTATGGATTTAGGGTTTTGGGAGGCTTAGATAGAGTTTTGGTGAAAACAGGGGCCTACCTTACTTAGGGTTTCGGGTTTTTGGGGGGTTTAGAGTTTTGGGGTTTAGCCTTCATACGCAGAATCGGGTTCCTCTTAAAGGGTCTATAAGGCTTCCTTTTGGGCTTCAACGAGGGGCAAACAAACCAAAAACACATCGAATAGGTTCTAGAAGGGGGGTTTGGGGAGCCTTAACAAGCAGAATGGGGCTTTGGGGGTCTATTGCAAGATAATTCATATAGGGGCCCTAATACTTAGACTAGGGTTTCGGGGTATATTCTACTCTAACTATAATAAGGAACCGCCAAAATAGTATAGGTGCTCCTATACTGTTCCAGCCCGGTATTGGGTTCGGGAACCTACGACCTAAACTTAAACCTTTAGCCCTCGTTAGCTGCACCCGCGAGACCCTGATTAAACCATATGCGACGAACGCTTCTACTTTGGCGACCGTAACTTTAAACCCTAAACCCTAAACCCTACAAGTATCAGAATCAATTAACCCTAAACCCTAAACCCATAGGTTTCAGGGGTGTGTTCTACTGTACACTGCGCTTTTTTCTAACTTAGGCTTTAGGCTCCTTTGGGTTTGTGCTCAGGTGTTTTTAGGAGTTGGGATTAGGGGTTCCTCCCTTTAAGGGGTCTCCCTAATACTACCTAAGAGTTTTCAGCGTGTCAAGGCTCACGCTTAGGCTTAAACCCTTAAGGGCTACGGCTTCGGGTTTAGGGCAAAAAGTTTTCGGTTTTATGAACATTATCCGTTGTGGTAGGGCTGACCTCTTTTTTCAGAATCTAAAGGACAGAAGAGTTCGGTACTTGGGTTTGGGATGGTAGTACCGACAAGGACTATGTTTCTCAGATTATTAGCTACTTGGCTCATGCAGACCCGAAAAAATAAAGCCACGAATGCCCTAATTCCAACAGCCGCTGGAGCTCCCCAGGACAAACACTGCTAAACGAACAGAGTCTAGGGCTTAATGGCCAAAGCAAAGCTGAATCCTAACCCCTAAAATTACACCCTAAAGCCCTAATTCCCGCAAGAAGCGCTAGCCGCTAAACACTTCGAGCTCGAATCCTGCATGTAGGGGGCCTTTTTGCGATTGCGTTGGTTTAAAGAATGGTGCTACTCCTAGGGGCTGAGTACCTTAGCCCAAAAAAAAAGTTCACCTTTCGAATTATAGTAGGACTATCCCTTTTGAAGTATAGTAGGATTATACGAGCTCGAAAAGGTTAAAGGCTATATACGAACTCAGCCCCTGAGTTTTTGCGATTGTGGTGATTGAAAGAATTTTGTTGCCAGTTATTCACCGCTGAACCCCGTATAGGACCCTTCCAGGGTCCAAAAGAACCCTACTTAAGGAAAGCAAATCGACTCAGCCAGAACTGTTCTATGGTCTAGAACCCTGTATAGAAGCCGTAGAGAGACCCTTATAGAAGCCTCAATAAGGAAACCTTGTAGTAACCCTCTAAAGCCGTAAGCCCTAACTTCTATTCCCGCCCTCAAAGCCCCCAAAGCTTCTCAAGTCCATCCCCTCAGCCAGAAGGATTCTATGTTATGGAACCGTAACCTCTAAACTCTACCTCGCGCCCAAAAGACCTACCTTTTAAGGAACTATATATAGAAACCATAATAAAGATCCCTAAAATCTCCACACCCTAAACCTGTAAGCCCTGATCCCTCAACCTTTGGGCCGTCTAGTTCGCCTGAGCCACCAGGATTCCGTATTTTAGTATTTAGGGGGTTAGGGTTTAGGGCTATTATAGAGCAGTATAGAGCCTTAACCTCTAAACCCTAAATGGCCCTTTAGTTCGCCTGAGCCAGAACGATTTTACATTCTAGAACCCTTATAGTAACTCGTTCGGCCCCAAATCGCCCAGAACCCTTATAGAACCCTTATAGTAACTCCTTGGCCCCAAATCGCCTCATTATAGAACCCTTATAGAAACCTTCTCGTAACTCCTTAGGCACCCAAAATCGCCTGAGCCAGAAGGAGATCGACTTTCGCCGCGGAAGCTGCCTCTTGGCTTCCGCGAGCACGGCCTCCTCAGGGGAGGAATTGTCTCTTGGAATTCCTATCAGGGTTACCCTAAACCCTAAACCAGGGTTCTTTTACTGTTTGGGGTTCCTAGAAGGGCTACCCTAAACCCGAAACCAGGGTTCCTTCAGGGTTTAGGGTTTGGGGTTTGGCTTTAGGGTTTGAGGGTTTAGGGTTTGGAGTTCCTGGGTTCTGTTGATGATATAAATCCTGCATGACCTTAAGGACCCTAAACAATGGGAATTACGGTATATTCCTTCTTATGGGTAGTGCTAAGGATTTATATCATCAACCGGCTCCATTACAGTTCCTCTATAAGGGCTCTGTAAGGATTGTGTAAGGGTCCGGTGTGGGCTTTCAGAAGGGTTCAGGGAGGGTTTCCTATAAGGGCTCTCTGGGGCTTTTTGGGGGTTCTATTCGAGCTCCATAAGGGCTCCAGTAGTCTTTTTGGGTTTCCAAAAAGGGTTTCCTAGAAGGGTTCCTAGTTCTAGTCGTCTATATGGGTTCCTGCAAGGGCTCCTCTTAAAAACTTCCTATAAGGGTTCTTTTTTAGTCTATAAAAGGCTCCTTTGAGGGTGCTTGCTAGGGTGCCTGCTAGGGTTCCCAAAACGGGCTCCTCTGAGGGCTCTGATGAACCTTCCTCTAGGTTTCTCAGTAGCCCCTGAAGAATAAGGGCACCCTTTTTCCTACCGTTTGGTATTAATAAGGGAACCCAAAAAGAAAAAGGGCAAAAGGGTACTACTGGGGAACCTAGTCCTTCTTTGGGGGTTCTAACCAAAAGGGCAGGACCCAAGTAGCGGGCTCCAAGGTTTAGGGTGTAGGGTTCAGGGCTTAGGGTTTAGGGTATAGCGTTCAGGGTTTAGGGCTTAGGGTGTAGGGTTCAGGGTTTAGGGTGTAGCGTTCAGGGTTTAGGGTTTAGGGTTTAAGGGTGCAGGGTGCAGGGTTTTGGGGTTTAGGGTTTTGGCAGGCTGCTGCTCAAAGTTGAAAGGTGTTACAAAGGGTTGGGGATAAGCGACACAAGCAAACAGGTGAACCCTACACCCCAAACCGTGTAAAGAACCCTTTATTGGACCCTTCCCTCAACCCTAAACCCTAAACCCTACGGAGCCTTTTTTTAGGAACCTTACAGAGCCAGCAAAGGGCTGTCATTCAGCATGTCCTCTAATCTCTCCAAGCTCACAGACGGTCTTCCGCTGTAGTTGCGTGACCTTAGGTTCTGTCAAACCAGAGTTGATGAAGCAGCAGTAGCAGGGGTTTAGGGGCTTAGGGTCTAGGGTTTAGGGTTTTTGTAGCTGAAAACTCCCTAGACCCTGAAACCCTTAAAACGTTTGTGAAACCGCGGGACCTTATAGCCGCCCATATAGGAACCCTTGGAGTGGGCAGGCCCGCTGACAGCAAGGGGTTTCATTCCCTTTCCTGCGGAGGCTCGACCGATGCAAGAAACACAATAAAGGGTTTGCAGAAGCGGGGTTAAGGATTTACTGGGTTAGGGTTCATAACCCAGGGTGCGTAGGAGTTTGGGCTTTGAGTTTATAGCGGTTAAGGCTCAAGAGTTTAGTATTTATAGGGTCAGGGCAATGGAGACGTTGATAGGCTGTTATAGGGCTTAAAGGGTTTATAAGGGTGTCTTCGAACGTGCAGCCGGCAGGCAGCGCATCCTGCACAGCCAGCAGGTGAAGGCAGCTGTCCAAATGCCAAGCGCCCAAATGCGCTCGCTGCGTCACGAACTCCTAGCACGGCTTTAATATGAAACCCCCAAATATACAATGACTAATTGGCACCCTAAACCTTAAATTCTATACCCTAAACCGTAAACCCTATACCCTTAACTAGGCCAACCCTATACCCGAAGTTCTATGAACCTCCGAACAAGTACTAATGACACCCTATTCCCCTCAAGCCGATACCCTAGACCCTATACCCTACAGGATCCTAAACCCTACAGGATCCTATACCCTACAGGATCCTAAACCCTAAACCCTACACCCTACAGGCCCCAAGCCCGGTAGAAGTTCTCCGAACACCAGCGCGTCTGAACTGGGAGGCTTGGAAGGAACTGTTGAGTTTCAGGAAAAGAAGAGCAGCAATGAGAATACGACGAAGAAGAATGAAAACACGACCAAGAATAAGAAGGAGAAGAAGAAGAATACGACGACTATACTAATCACATGTATATATATATACACACATATATATATATAGATACACACAGAGATGTATGTATCTGCAAGTTCCGGCACGCAACCACAAATGGACTGCGAGCTACCCAGTTGAACGTAAAACAAAATATGCTTTCTTGCAAAGTGCTGGCATGCAGCAGCAAGCGTGAAGCATTTCATCCAACAAGATGGCCAGGGACACAGACTTGTGAACTTCGAACATGACTGCCACCTCAATCCTGCTTATGGAAACTCGTAAGCATTGCAGCAGCCATCGCAAAGATTCAAGAACGCCCTGAACCCCACAACAAACCCAACATGCAGGCCCCTCCTGCTTTTGAAGGTAGGCAGCTAACGTATCCATGGTGGTCAGCAGTTCATCAACCAACGGAGCATCATCTGCAGCTCGGAAGAGAAGCCTCCAAACCAAACCCCAAACCCTATCCTAGCCGTTTAGACCTTAAAGGCACCCTCCAAGGAATCCTCCACGCCCTTAACCCCTAAACTCCACCGACTGGTTCTTCGTAAGGAACGGGGGAATGGGTTATCGGGACTACTTTAGGGGACCTTAAGGGGCTATCATAGGGAGCCATTCCCCCCATTCCCTACTAAGAACCAAGGAGTCAAGGCCCAACAGGCTTGTGGGGTACACTGGCAACTACTCTGGCTTCTATACTAAAAATCGCACGCTAAACCCTAAGCCCTGAAACCTCAACCTTAAGCTTTAGGGCTCAGGGGGGATGCGATTTTGTCGGAAATAATCCTCTTAGGGCCCAAGAATCGAACAATAAAGCATGTCCCAACGGAAACACCTAATCCCTAATCCCTAAGCCCTAAAGCCTAACAGATCCCAAAAAGGAACTATTGTTACTACACGTTATTACACTTACACTGTTCGTAGTATGAGTCTTAACATCACTATTATCATTGGTATGGTGATTGTCTTTACTAATGTAGGGGCCTTAATTATTTGAAGAGGGTTTTGGGTGTTCCTTATTATAGTTTTAGTATAATGGGCCCCAAAACCCTATTCTAATTTTTGAGGCCTCTATATTACTCCTACTAAACCCTAAACCCTAAACCCCAAACCCTAAACCCTAAACCCCAAACCCCAAACCCTAAACCCCAACCCCCAAACCCACAACCCAAAACCCTAAATTGCTACAGTTACTAGTAACCCTTCTAGTGCCCCTTTAAAGGAACCCTAGTCTATATTACTCCGACTATTGCTACAGCTACTTCGCTCTGCAGGCGGGGTCAACTCCTTGGGCTGACTCCAAGATCCAGGGTTGGAACATGTCAAGCAGGGTTTAAGGGTTTGGAGTTTGGCTTTAGGGTTTAGGGTTTGAGGGTTTTAGGGTTTAGGGTTAGGGATGATATAAATCCTGCAGTACCTTAGGGACCCTGAACTCTGGGCGTTATGGTATATTCCTTATTATGGGTAATACTTCAGGCAATATGGCATGATGGTTATCATTACTATTACTGTTACGATTGCTACTACTGTTACTACTGTTGCTACTATTACTACTACTGTTGCTACTACTGTTACTAGTACTATTACTGTAACTATTGCTGCTACTACTACTACTACTACTGCTACTACTGCTACTACTGCTACTACTTACTACTACTACTACTACTACTACTACGACGACGACGACTGTTACTGTTACTGTTGCAAGCAAAATGGATGTGGTTAGTTCTCTAAATTGGGGTCCCTAATTTTGTTCGGCACCCTTATAAGAAGGACCCTAAAAGGGACCCTAGTTTAGAGAACTACCCATATGCAAGCCAAATGGCGTTGGGTCTAAGGCTTAGGGTTTATTGTTCGAGTTTAGGCTTTAGGGTTTAGATTAAACCGGTTTAGGGTTCAGGGTACATAATATGAACGACAAATGGGGAGTATAGCGGCCTGGATAATCAAGAGGCTGTGAAGGCTTAACGCTAAACCCTAAGCCCTAAACCCTAGAAGTTACAGCAGAATTGTGCAGGAACATACCAATCATGCAGGAGCATGCAGAGCCTTGTGATTTCGGTTAGGGCTTTTTTTGAAACCACCAGAAAACTGCTTGGAGAAGCGTGTCTTTTGGGTTCCATCTAGGCCGTCATATTAACTTCCCCAAACCCAACATTTCGGAAACACCAGCGACCTGTGTGTGTGGGGCGGGACTCTTTCTCCAAACAAGCGTTATAAGTACGAGAACCGAGGAACCCCCCCCAAGAAACCGTCAGAAAGCCCGTGAAAACCCCACAACACTCTCTATAGCCAAGGTGCTCTCCAATGACGGAGTTGGCTGCGAGTGCTTTGAACACATTTTCGTCGAGCTGCAGCTGTGTATCGGTTCCTGCACCCTGAGACATGTGCTGAATGTTGAAGATCTTTCGATCTACAGACTTCGGGTTTAGGGTTTACGACACATGGCTTGCAGGGTTTGTGGTTTAGGGCTTAGGGCTTCAAGACTGTGTTCGGAGGTTCTAGTTAACTTCTGAAAGAGTAGGACATGCAGAATGCAGAATCCCTCAGGAAGAGGTCCCAAAGCAAGGGGCCTCACGTGAAATACCCTTATAACAACCCTTTCCGAGAAACCTGCAACTGTACACAACCTTTATAACACCCCAAGACCTATCGACAACACGTTGTTTTGGTTCTTTCAAGTCGTAGTAAACAACCTTGAGGTAACCCTAAGCGCAACTTAACACCGCTCTCATCACAAAAACCCGTTTGCAGAGACCTGAAACCTGAATAGAGGAGCCTTAAGCATTATAGCGTTCTTGCTGGTTTTCGGGTTGAGGGTTTAGGGTTCTATAGAGTTCTATAGGGTTTAGGGGTTCTATAGGGTTGGTTCCTGGATATGCTGCAGCAAACACAACAAGTCACCTCAGGAAAAAGCATTGCTAAATATCCGGGCAGTTCTGTTGAATCAGGCCAAGTGTCCACGGTTTCTTTGACCACCCGAAGGGCTGCCGAGGCAGCCTCTTGCCAGGCACCCTTCGCATCTGGGCTCTCGCTCATGCTCTTGCAGTGCATCAGCATCCTCCGGAAAGAAGGATCCGAGAATCACAATGTTACGGGGTTCATAGAAAAACCAGCACCTCCAACCTTCTTCAAACCGACAAAAAAGAAGTAGGGGGTATATATTGGGGGGGGCATTTTGGGTGATTGGGCCCCGGATTGGGGTTCCACCAAGCTCGGGTTGAGACCTCACCAAGCCTTGCTTCACGCACTCGCATCAAGAGCTAGAGTAGTAGCTGGCGTCGCAAGAAAGGGAAGGACATCGCACAGTCGACGCCCTGGGCAGCTGAAAAACGGGCCTTTGGGGATGCATGATAGTATAAATCTCACCAGAACCCCAGGTAATAGCATTGGTAGTTATTTAGGCTTCTATTCTACATGTCGGCGCTTGTTCCTGGACTCCCCCGGTCCGCTGTCTGTTTCTGGAATCGCATCGCTTGCGGTGCATTCCACGGGTTCGGGAGGCATACTCTGGCTTCCTTCAACAAATGTCAAGCTTTGATGTGTCTGTCCGTCTGCCCGTCCGTCTGTCTGTCTGTCTCTCTCTGTTTGTCTGTTTGTCTGTCTGTCTGTCTCTGTCTGTCTGTCTGTCTGTCTGCATGTACGCATGCATGGCTGGCTGGCTAGCTGTACGTATGTGTTCATGTACTCAGAGTTGCCGAAACACAGAGAGAGAGAGAGAGAGATATATATATATATATACACATATAGATATATATATAGATTAAAGATTGACAAAGTATTTCATGCACACACATGCCGCTGCTCATAGTCCTGGAACTCGATACGATGTTCCGTCTTGTGGCAGGGATGGATTGAAGGAGAAGGGCGATGCAGGACTTCGTGAATCAGCAGCCTGAAACCCTAAACCTTAAGCCCTCCCGCGGTCATGGAGGCAGCAGCCAGCGCCAAAGAGCCTTCCGACGAGGCACGTGAAATGCTGTCTGCATCCGGCGATGAATGCCGGCCGCACCACTCCTTTGGGTCTAGGGCGGGATTCAGCTTAGGGCTTCGGTTGTAGTTGCCACCCAATGTTACCCATGAGCATGTACCTCCGGAAAACACAAGGGTGACCAAACATCATCCTAGTCCTAAACCGCCACTTAGCCATAAGGCTTTGGGAATCAGAGGAATAGAAACTGAGGAGTTCACAATCTACGCGTGTAAGCTTGTAGACTAGGTCTTTGAATATGCCGGAGTTTGGGGGTCGTTGCCAAACCGAAACAAACAACTCTGATCAATCAAAACCACATCCCGGCGTCCCAGAAAAAAGTGAAGTCTGAATATCAAGAGTCCTTGGTTCTCCCGACTACAAATAGAAGGCTCTGATCCGGGATTCCCCCAAGCACCGAGAAAAAAAACTACCTCCAACACCTCGCCGCAAACCTCAGACCCCGAACCCCAACTAAAAGCCCTACACCCTGAACCCAAAGCTTCCGACCCCTAAACCCCGAAACCCCAAACCCCGTACCCCCAAACTCAAAGGGCCCAGAATCCTAAACCCTTTATAAAATTCCCCTATTCATAAGCCTTAAAATCCCTAAACCCTAAACCCTAAGCCCTAAACCCTTAAGCCGAAGCCCTAAACCCTTTATACAATTCCCTTAGAAGCCTTAAGCCTTCCCTTAAGACAAAAAAAGACAGTGGGCCGAGGCTCCGTCGCTGCCTGCTCCAGGAGGAGGCAAAGCTGCAAGCTCAGGGGCGGCAGCATGGGTGCGACCTGGTTTCCTAGGGTTTAGGGTTGAGGGGTTGGGGTTTCGGGGTTAGGGGTTAGGGTTTAGAGGTTGGGGCTAGGGTTTGGGGTTAGGGTTTGGGGTTTAGGGGTGTAGGGCTCCTGATTATACCGGCTCTAAGATCTAATTCTCAGAGATCCAGAAGGGACCTATAAGGGTTCAGCCCCCCCAAAAAAAAGGTTACCCTACTCAGCCCCAAGGCTTAGAGTTTGGAAAATTTAGGGCTCAAAGGGTTTAGGGTTTAGGGGTTGAAGGGTTTAGAGTTTAGAGCCTTGGGAATTTAGGGCTCAAAGGGTTTAGGGTTTAGGGGTTGGAGGGTTTAGAGTTTAGAGCCTGGGGAATTTAGGGCTCAAAGGGTTTAGGGTTTAGGGGTTGGAGGGTTTAGAGTTTAGAGCCTGGGGAATTAGGGCTCAAAGAGTCTAGGGTTTAGAGGTTGAGGGGTTGAGAGTTTAGAGTTTGGGGACTAGGGTTCGTATGTAGGGTTTAGGGTTTAGGGTGTTAGGGTTTTGTGGGTTTAGGGTTCAATAAATAGGGTTTAGGGTTTGGGGTTAAGTTTGACTTAAGGTTTTATAAGGTTCTATAATATTGGGGTTACTTTGGGCTTAAGGCTTTGAAGGTGGAGCTAGGGTGTTATAAGGCTTGATCTAGGTGTTAAAAGGGTGCATTTTGCGTACAACTCTAACCTGTGCTTAGTACCTTATAAACCCCTTCTAGAAGAACTCTACACAACCCCATATCACACCTTATAAAGACTCCCTACAAGCCCATTATAAAACCAATTTAGGATCCTTACACAATCCTTTAACCTAAACACGCTTACAACAAAGCCAACACCAAGCCCTGTCAAGTCCTACACAATGACCTAGGGGCTGAGTACCTTAGCCCAAAAAAGGTTAACCTTTTGAATTATGGTAGGATTATACAAGCCCAAAAAGGTTAAAGGTTACCTACTCAGCCCCTTAGATGAAATTGTTCTGCTGCCATGCTGCCCCGCGCAAGCGCCGAGCAACGCGGCCTTGCGCCAGCAGCAACAGCGCCAGGTCGCGGGTGGAGTAAGCATCCTTGGCTTTAGGTTTGCTGGTTTCCATCTGAGTTTTGCAGGGTTATGTAGTTTCTCTCGGGCGTTAAGGGCTGGTAAGAGGGGTATAATAAGGGAGCTTAAGACAGGGTTTGCCTATGTACATGTAGGTGTGTGTGTATATACATATATACACACGATGTTATCTGTCTATATATACATATATATATACA